GACCCCCCACAGCCCCTGCCGGCCTGGTGCTGCCCCCGCAGCCCCCTGCCCCTGGTGGCACTGCACCCCACAACCCTCTGCCCTGGCTGCAACTGCACCCCATCGTGCCTTCCTGGCTGGCACTGCACCCCACAGCCCCCCACCCCAGCCAGCACTGCACCCTATAGCCCCTTCCTGGCTGGTATTGCACCCAGAGCCCCCTGCCCCAGCTGGCACTGCTCCCCACTGCAAGTGAGACTGCGCCCCATAACCCTGTGCCTGGCTGGCACGGCACCCCACAGCCCCCTGTCCCCACCGGCACTGCACCCTATAGCCCTGTGCCAGCTGGCGCTGCACCCCATGCCCAGGCTGCCGTGCAGAAGTCTCCAAGCCCTGCCCCGGCACCGCTGCCGTGCAGACCCATGCCCACACCCTGCCTGTTCACACGAGGACCCCGGGGGCAGCGCCTGCCTGTGAGCACCCCAAAAGCGCCTCCTGGGTGAAGAGGGGCTGTGCCGGGCCTGGCCGGGCTTCGCCTGGGCGTGAAGGGTGCCTGCACGGCAGGAGGGGCCAGGCGAGGCGGGGAGGAATGCGAGTGGGAGAGCGGCCGGGCATGTAGCGACAGCTCCTAGGGCGCGCAGCGCCGGGGATCCCAAACGCTGCACGGGGCAGGGAGCAGAGCCCCAGCAACAGGGCTGGCGGCTGTCATGGGGCACCCCATTGCTCACCCCCTCTGAGAGCCAGGGAGCAGAGGGCAGTGAGTCCCCCGGGGGCAGCACGGCTGCCGTGGGGGTTCTGGCCCCGGGGAGCTCAGCTCCGACGTGGAGGGGCTGGAAATCCCCCGGCGGGTAATGCCTGGCTGCACCGACGCGAGGTGCTGAGGATTCTGGGGGGCCGAGGAGCCGCTATGACCCCCGAGAAGGTGCTGAGAGAGGGGGTGCTGGAGAAGCGGAGCGGGGGGCTGCTGCAGCTCTGGAAGAAGAAGCGGTGCCTGCTGACAGAGAAGGGGCTGCAGCTCTTCAAACCCAAGGGCTCGCGGCGCAAGGAGCTGAGCTTCGCCCGCATGAAGGCGGTGGAGTGCGTGGAGTGGAAGGAGCGGCACATCTACTTCACAGTGGTGATGGACGACAGCCACGAGATCGACTTCCGCTGCGCCCAGGAGGACCCGGGCTGGAACGCCGAGATCACCATGGGCCTCGTCCGCTTTAAGAACCAGCAGGCG